CCGACGGGGCCCGCCTCCCTCCCCCGCCCCCCCCCCGCGGAGGCCTGGCGTCCGAGCCCCCCCCCCAACTCCTGCAGAGGCCTGCCCCCATCCCCGCGGGGGGGCTGCATAGGGCCCCAGAATAGCTAGGGACAGCCCTGAATAAACCTTCTGTTTTACCAGCTGGCTGAGAGTCACGTCTGACTGCGGAGTTGGGGTGTAGGGCCCTCTGGCTTCTCCAGGAGCCCCGCCTGTGCAGACTCGCTGTGGAAAGCGCATGATGTGGAAGGGAATGCTGAATGCTCCGAGGTCAGACCCAGGAAGGTTGAAGCTGTGTAAGCCTCTTCCCCTGTGACAGTGTGCTCAGAGAGAGGAGGCTCCCGCAGAGTCCTGACTGGCTTCATACAGAGTAGTTCCAGAGCATTGACCCGGTGACTCTGTGACACCCACCATCTCCCGCACACTGCAAAATAACCGCAGCTGCCTGGGTCTGTGATGAAATGGCTCCTCCGAAGGGGCCTCCAGACACATGGTTGTTCATCTACCAGATGCTCCACAGGGGAATGTTTAAATCCCTTGTGCTCCCTCTGCACAAACCAGCCATGAGTGTGAGAGCTGCCTCCACCCCTCAGTGTCCCCTGCAGCCCAGACCACTAGCCCTTGGCTGCAGAGAGAGGACCTGAGCCAAAAGGCCTGGAGAGCAGCACAGTGGCTGGGGGAACACCAGGCACCTGAAAGCTAATCTCCAGACCCCGCCAGGAGGGTCAAAAGGGCACTGCTGTGACTGGCAAGAACAAGATCATGGGAGACAATGGGCCAGCTGGGAGAAGCAACACCGCCAGCCTCTTTGGCCTGTTCGAAGGTGTTTGAAGAGAACACAGGAACTGCCTAGCGCCACTATAATCAGCATCAGGGGGGTCTCTGCTGGCCGCCTTGTCAGTCCCAGTGAAGAGCCCAAGGACTGAGTGAGCTGTGCAGTATGAACTCCCCTCCGGTTTTCTGGGCTGGTCCATTGAGGTACCTCGATGGGGCAGGGTGAGACGCATTGCTGTTGGTCCTACTCCATCGTGGCTTTGGTATATAGAAACCTCTGAGCGGCAAGGGCCATCATTCCAGCCCATTCCTCCCAGTGGGAGTTTTGCCGTTGACTTCACTAGGGCCAGGATTTCACCCATCATTTGTAGCGATTCATGTGCATTTACGCCAAGACAACATATATGTTAAGGGAGGGAATGGACATCTGTCGATGCTGACACTGCTCACTGCATCCATTTCTGGAACAGAGCACGGCAGCTCTCTGACAGTGCCCAGCAATGCTAGACCCACGTTTGAAGGTAGGAGGTGGACAAGAATCCTGTATCTAACTGAGGCACCAGAGGGAATTTCATTCAATAGAGCAGAACGACCTAGGGTCGGATTTAGCCAGAACATTAGGTTTAACACCTCTGCTCTCTCTCCCTCCTTAGGACTGATTTTCTATTCTGTCACTCCTTGGGCATTCTTTTGCACCTGTGCAAAGTGTGTATTGAGTGGGTGTGGGGTTGCACTCGTGTGAAGGACACCACAAGGTGCAGGATATCAGGGAATTATGCACTCTGATTACATGCCTGTCTTCAGAAGCAACCCCAGAGGTCACACCACTCCCCCTCACAAGAGGTAGGGACACTGAGTCAGCCCTGACTCAGCAGGGAGAGTGCCTCTTAGTGAATCATGCACAGCATCTACAAGTTCCTTAGGGGTTTCCCATTAAGTAGTGACCAGGTTCAACCCTGCTTAAGTCTGAGATCACAACCCAGGTTGGCAAAGAAGGCCTGCTGCATAGTGGTTTGCATTCCTCCATACTATCATTGCTTGCTGATTTACACCAGCTATGGATCTGGCCCAGCCTGTCTGCCCATGTGCCCACCAAATCAGCTCATTTCCATATGTGAGGACATGTATCCCGTGCCTTTAAAATGGTAGCAAGAAGCCAGGGGGCTGGGGAAGGTGCTATCCAGAGGCTCCTCAGAGAGGCAAGAAAGGAGCCAGAATAGTTTTAGGGGTAACGCTGTCTCCCAAGTTCCTTGTTCAGTGCTAGAGGAAAGTGACTCTCTCCTGGATCTCCCCCTCCCCACCCCATGTCATATGATGCCATGGGAAGGACAGCTCTGCATCATAGAGACCATGTGCACAGGTCCCAGTGATTTCCAAGAGACTTT